TTAAAAAAATCAGAAATATAGAAATAGAAATATGAAGACATATAATTTGCCTCTGTTAAAAAAATTATGAACTCTGAAAAGGGTACATACCAAAAACATAGATAGCAAAAACATATGATTTGCCTCTGTTGAAAAAATCATGAATGTTAAAAAGTATACGCAATGCAAAAAACATTTTTTGTACCTTTTCAGAATTCATAATTTTTTAGCAGAGGCAAATTACATGACTGTATTTTTATTTTTTTAATTCTGTTCTTTCTTTCTTTAGCAGAAATGTAATAATTTCTGTTAATATAACACAAACAAAATCTATGTGATAGATTGCGTTGGTCGTCGATCCTCCGATGGTTCACTTTAAAAAGCTGAAAGCAACATCTTATTACATATATCAGTTTTAATTATTTTTGCATCTTATATTTATTATTTTTATTCATATTTATTATTTTCGCGTTAATATACATATTTACGTATGGCTTTTGGTTTAGGTGTTTTTATCTTTAAAAAGTACAGTATTTGTAACTGCATGGAAATCTTAATGATACTGTACAAGTTTTCCATTCGTGATTATAAAAATTTGTACCAATGACAGAAACCCTACATATGCAAGTTATGTTGCCAAAAACCGTATCATGCAACGATGTCAAAGATCGTAATATTATACAGACATCAAAGACCGTAATTATATATGGTCGCCATAGATCGTATCGTTATAAGGATGCCAAAGACCGTATTAATAAAAAGACGTTTTTTATCTACATACATACATATTGCATGTTTTCGCAAGCTCTCACTTTGTAGAGTTAAATGTAAAATGTAAAACGAAATTATTTGTAAGAGAAAATAATAGAGAATAAGATAGGTTTTAAGCAAAAATAATAAATAATAATATTTAATATATTATTTTTTAGTATTTTTGTTTTGTTTTAATACCTTTAATATATTTGATGTATTTTGTAGTAATGTTGTAATATTATTAATATGTTAAACATCCTTAATTGTTTATGGTTTATTGTTTAGTGGTTTGCTTACTTAGTAAATATACATTGTAATAGCTATATATACATATATTTTTGGGGTATGCTTAAAATATTATATTTGCCATCAACAGTTCTTAAGGATTAGGGAATGGGGTTATTGACCTTAGCCTCACTCGCGGGTGTTTGACAGTTGGTAGAACGCCTAAGGTTGATCACTAATACCAAGGTCTGTTGGTGTTAGGGTTGAACAGGAAATAAAGCTCAGGCCAGACTATGCGCGGCCTTAGGTTTGTTTCTGAAATATGGTACTTGACCATTTTTATCGTTCAGTGAGAGCGGTGAAGGGGTTTTCAATTTTTTACAAAAAATTGATCTGCTTAAAGCAGTAAAAATTAGCAACAATTTGCTTTGCCTAGAAAAGCCGTCATATAAACAATTATTACAAATGTATGTTGTGATCTTACTTTCTTTAACAGAATTGTATTAATTTCTGTTAAAATCATAACAAAATATACGGTGTTTAGAAAATGTGGATTGTGTTCATTGGACACTTAATGTTGGTATACTTCAAAGAAAACTCCCAAATGTGTAAGAGCGAACTGCGACATTTAATAGAATTTATTATTTTTGTTACACTGCATTGTTCTGATACATGCAACACGCTCCTGCCACACTTCAGTGCAGCTTTTTATTTTTGTAAGGATATTTTTATATTAGCTGCGTTTCAGCAAACATGATCCGCTCAATGATCTGGACCATCTTTGCTGAAATGATACGGATCACGTTTGAAAATAATTGGCAACGCATGAATTATGCCAGTTGGGTTTGTGTACAAAATTTTTTGATTTGTGTGAATCATTTTGGCACTAAAAAAATAAGTGAGGAAATTTTGAATACAAAAAATCTAAAAAATAGAAAAAAATAAAATTTGTTGAAATGTCTGAAGTATTAAATGTAAGTTTTTATTTAGTATTTACTTAAAAACTTAAATTTAATACTATAGTAAATAAATGAAAATTGCAGATTTTATTAGAATTATCAAGCAAAACTGACTCCTCTATTTTCTTTTTAAACACTAGTCCAAGTTTATTAAGCTCAGGGGATGAAGTGCATCAGCATGGATATAGTGGAAATTTTGTGGAAATGATCAATAATTGTTCCGTTAAAGACTATTTGATTGATATTTGCGCATAAAATATACAATTGCTATATATTAATTATGTTTCATATTTTAATAGATTTGTTAATAAATTCCAATCAGCGAGTGCAAAATAACCGTGATGATCACAATCGGACGAGAGTAATGAATGAATTTTATATATTTTTGTAGTATATGGCAAATATGAATACTTTTTCCGAATTTGATATTTGTTTTGGCATACCAAGAGCTTCTGTATGGAGAATAATTAAAAGAATTAGTGTTTAGCGTATATCAATTGGACACTAATTTATAAAATACGCACTTGCTAATAATGCAAAAGTGGAAGTTTCGAACAAATTCCCGTTCGTATTAGTTGCATAGACCGTATACATGTAAAAATAAATGCACCAAACCATAGCAAATAGGATTATTTCAAAAGGAAGCATGACTATGGCTTAATCTTGCAGGCAGTTTGTGATGAAAATGGTTTTTTTATAAACGTGTATGTTGGAGAACCTGGTTCCTTATGTATTGTTCTGTTTTAATTAAATAAGTGTATTCAACTTAATTTATATATATTTATTTCAAATTAATTGATTTTAATGAATTATCAAACAACACTTTTTCAATAATAATAAAACGTAAATAAATAAAGTAATAATTTTAATTACAGTAATAATTAAAACATTACTTTAAACAAAGAAATAAATAATAATAACATATTAAATAAATTAGTACATAAAATAAATAATAAATAAATAAAATCAATAATAAATAAATATAAATGTAGATTTGTTTATAATTTTACTACACCGTTGCATCGCATTGCCAACCTCATTTGCATTAAAATACGTTCCACTTTTATCTTTTACATACATTCCACATTGAACCAGAAAGTGAACCAGATCAATTGCTCGTTCACCCCATTTTTTGTTTTGCATGTAAAATTGAGCGGATCATGTTTGCTGAAACGCAGCTATTGTTGTGTACGTTTCGAATTCGGCGTAGCGTGTTTACGCTTATATAAATCTCAGTGGATATAACATAAACGTATGCACACTTATCATATATGGGATTCAATAGGAGGTATATGTATATCAAAGAAAAAAATTTTTTTAAGTGATTTTTTATACTTAGCTCCGCTGGCAACTTCGTGTGCTGTCTTCGCATATTTAAGTCCCTGATGTGCTTGCGATGCCTTTCAGAGTTGATGACAAAGTGATTTTTCTGAACGCTTGCGTCATCTTATATACGCATCAGATCGAACTGGAATGTAGCGCAAATGCTTTGTTTACAGCTGGTTCACATTTTCGCTGGTTCACATTTTATTGATGCGCGCGCATCAATATTTGCATTAAGTTACTGTCGGAAGTGGCAGTTTTAAGTATTTATATTTATTTATTAAAATAAAATAAATATTCAAATATTAAAAATATAAATATAAATAATAAATAAATAAGGTAAATAGCTTATTCAGGTATTATTTATTTATTTAAATATATTTTGTATTCCTTGTGAATGTATTTTCTATATAATTTTATATTGATTCATGTGATGCAATTGCGTGCATGCGAGGGTGGATTATTGGTAAATTATTTACATTTAATATAATAAATAAAAATTAACCAATTTTTATTTCAGATAACAACTCCAGACTGATTGCATGTAGGTTGGAAATTAGTAAATATTTCCATCCTTACGAAATCATCATCTGAATTTAAAGAAAAACTCGATAGTGCATCCGCGTTGCTATATGCGGTTATAGGACTATATTTAATGTCGAAATTATAGGCCATAAATTAAAAACAATACGAAAATTTCATCACTCGAGTTTTTTTGTTACATCATATTATAATTTTATTTATTTTTGACTAATTTTTTTTTTTCTTTCAATTTAACTTTAATTTTTAATTTTTTTTACTTATGAAAGAATTTGAGACTTTTGTGTTGTCGTTAAATAAATTTTTTTAATGATGAAACTATATTTTAAAGAAAAATAAATATATTAATTTTTCATTTATAATAGTGATTTTTAAAGACTAACAACATTATTGTTGTAAAAACAATACAATACATTTGCAAAAAAAATTACAAGTCCCCCATTTCGATTAGACTATATTTAACTTGGTGTGTATTAACTTAAATGCGAACGCTATAGATCTTTCGTAGCCTTCCGGTTGTTTGACAGAACTACAACGATACCAAGATATCTTCATTAAAATGAGCAAATTGTGTTGCAATAACAACTAAGCTCAATGTTCAAAAAAACATGATACTGTTTATGACCCCACTTATATGGTGTGTTTTTTCTGCGAAGTTGATTAAATGGCGAAACTAACTGTGAATAGTTCGGGATAAAGTTGCAATAGAAGGTGACTTTTCCCATAAACGCTTCTAACTGCTGTAGATTAATAGGTAGCTTTAATTCTGTCATAGTTACTAACCCCGAATTATCAGGAAGTATACCATCTGCCCTAACTCTCCTATCTACATATTCAATTTCGTCTATTAAAAAGAAACATTTTTCTTTGATGCATTTGATGGCATTCTATTGCATATGTCTAAAATTTGTTCTAATGCTTTGCTCACTTATTGGTGCTAAAATTATTATGCCATCTATGTAGTTTCCATATCCTGGAATACCTGAAACACCCGCCACAACAAAAATTGTGCTATGATATTATTATTACATTATCATGAGTTACTTAAGGAATGGGAAAGAGCTTTAATGTGTCAAAAAGTTTTAGTTTTAGAACTTTTCTGTGTTTACATATTAATTGCAAACAGCTGATATTAAATGTTATATTGTTAGAAGAAAATACATCAGCATGGAAAACGCAAATAATTTAAATAATTTAATATATAATGTTTGTGATATTGTTCACAATATGAAAGTGGCAGTTTCTGCATATACAGAAGAACATGCACTGGTTTACAAAATATTACAAATTATTTAAAATCACAAAATCTTCAATAATAACTAGAAACCAAAGGAAGTGCTGGACTTCTGGTAAGTACGGGCAGTAAATATTATTAAATAAAGAATAAAATTTTACTGAATTGCTATTTTAGATAAGAAGGAAATCCGTATGTCGGTTCAGAGAAGACAACAGAGGGCATCAATAACAACAGAGGGCTTCAATAACCACAATAACAATAGAAAAGAATGAAGGCGATGTTAAGTCAAAATTTTCAGTAAGTTTTATTTTAACTAATAGATAATAATAACACTAATAACTTATAAATTAAAAATAAAAATAACAAAAAATATATACTTATATTTTTCATATAATTAGATTTAATATAATTATAAAATTTATAAAAAAATTTATATTATTGCATTTATAATTTTAATAATATAAAATTTTTTTCTTTTCTTTGTAGGTGTGTTCTTTTTTGACTTCAAAGATGTTGACGAAAATATTGACGACGTTGACAGTAACGGTGAGGATCACTATCAGAAATTAATACGAAGATGTTGTCAATAGACAAATTCTCCAAAATTCTGAGGGACTCGTTGAAAACCACAATACATTGCTGATTCTTTCTGTTTTAAAATAAAAAAAAAGTAGTTAACATAACATTAACTATTAAATAAAACATATACTCGTCATATTAATCGTAAAAGATTATGTGGTTTTAATTACAAAAAAATAATGATGTAATAGAAATTTCACTTATTGAACACTTACCTAAGCTATTGGGTGAAGTTGAGCGCTTTCGTATGCACTTCGGCTGCGGTTACCATATAACCTCTTTCACCTTATTCATTGAAAAAAATTTTCCTCCCACAGTTCGACGGTGCTGTATGCATTTCGGGAAATTTAATTAAAATTAAATTTGTAAATCAAACTTGTTAGATCTCAATTGTTGCTATCTGTTATTAACCTGAAATAAATATTTTTTGTTGAATAATATATGATATTCTATAATGATATGAAATATATATATGATATATAAACTTATTTTAATATTTTTGTATATTAATTATATATTTTATATATAAACAAGAAATGTTTAAAAAAATTCTTACCTCTTGATTGAGCAGTTGTATTTCAAATGCAACTATGCGTAAGATAAATTTTAAGCCAAAGATAAAGTTGAGATCACGAAAAAGTGACATTTTTTTAAAATAAGTATCAATGACAGTTGACTTTAATAAAACCAGGAAAATATTTTGAAAGTTGTGCAAATATTTAAATTTGAATGTAGAGAAGAAACTGCAACTGTAATTAATTTATAATAGAGTGAAAAATAATAATTCACATACCTGAAATCCACTAAAGCTAATAAAAATACTGAATACTGTTCTTAATAGCTATAATAATCAACTATAAAAGTTTCCCAGATACTAATAGTGTTTGGGCATGTAATTTTTAACATTCGATTTGAAAACAAAACACTTTGAAGAGAATTTTACTATTGTAAAACTTGTTTTAAAAGACTTTAAACACAACCCTGCATTTTAAGGAAAATAAAAAAATATTCTTAAATGGCAGTTCCGTATAAACAGAAAAAAATTAGTTGCTTTTCAGTCCTCCCAGTTAAATGTGGTGTGTCGGTAAACATTTTGTCAATAAATGAAAAAAGGAATACGTTCTAGAATTCTGTTAAAACACCCATGAAAAATGTTGAAATAATATGTTAATATTAAATTTAACGAACCATCAGTGTTTAATGTGGTGGATGTGTGAGATTTTCTTTCACGAGTAGTGTGTGTGCAATTTGTTTCTATGAAAAACAAATGTAAAATATAAAAGTAATTAAAAAATACATTTGTGCAGTTTGTGCATAGCGTCTTGCATGTTAGGCAATGTAAGTAAACATGTTTTATTTATTTTCTTTTTATTTGTCGAGATAATTGATAGCGTTTTTTAAAAAATTAACCAATTAAATGTTTAATAAATTTGTGCAAACTGTTTTATTTTATAATAATACTGTTATTATAATCAATAGATAACTAGAAGTGCTAGCACTATTCATAAAAACAAATTATCGTAATTTGTATGAAAAATCACATATTTAAAGAACAGTGGAAACGCGTTGCTACAAGTACTATCAATTATTTTTATAGTTTGCTTCCGGTGTTGTTTTAAAGCAAAACGTTACTGCTGCAATATATATAAACGTCTTTAAAATTTTGAATCAAAAATGTTTTCTGAAATGACTTTATATAAGAAAAAATACTGCAACTGCTTTTTATTAATTTATATACAGACAATTCTCCCTAATTTTCCATCATTGCGTCAAATAATATGCTTTAGTTCCTTATATGTAAAATTACAAATTCATTTTTGATAATTACACATTTTTCAAGTAAAAAGTATCAACTAAATTATATTATAAATTTACAATATAAATTGTATTGCATTGAGTCAGCAATTTTTATCTGTTGTATTTGCATGTGATGTCCCTGTATTTTTGTTCTATTTTCTTTTTAATTCACATTTTCGCACCATAAACAATATAAACAAAAAAATACAAAAAAAAAATTTATTAGGCATGCACATATGCATGTGTGTGTGTGTGTGTACGTGTATGTTCCAGTTGCGACCGTATTGACTTCATCTGTAGTTTGTCTGACATAGTTTATAACATGGTATTAGGTTGGGCACTAAAGCTTTTCCATTGCACTTCATAAGTTTAGAAACTCGTTTGGATTTCAATTACGGCGAGGGAATGTTGTTACAAAAATATGTAAAAAATAAATATTATTATTTTTATATACATACTAATGGCAGTATACAGTAATCGGTTGCTTAAACGGATAAAAAGTGGAAGAGGCTCGTAGTCAATATGGGAAAAAAAAAATAATTTGTGAATAAAAAGCAATATATATGAAAACTAATCTGGTTGGTGTTAGAAATTGGTTAGTTTATGTTATTTATCAATATATATAATAATAAACAATGTGCTATCATTATTGGAGAAAAATTGAGTGTAGCGTAGGCGTAAAAACCGTACAATGTAAAAAAAGATTAAGTAGGAATGTTTGTAAAAATTAGTTTTTAGGTATTTAAAAAAAATTATAAATAAGAAACCTATTTAAGTATCTTAATCGAAATTGAGTGACTCCTGAAGCACATGCTTCATACCTAAAATCAATCGTTACGATGATTTAATGCATCTCAATAAAAATCTTATAAGAATAAATATTTAACATTTGCCTTGAAAGTGCGAAAGAAATTTACATTTAGTTTTAGAGAGTGAACTGCCATTAATACTCACATTACTTCATTATAAATGTTATGTACTATTACAGATAATCTATTACATTGAATTTTTTCTGATTGCACTCTGCTATTTAAGACTGTAACGATCAAATTTTCCTACATAATAATATAAATATTCAGCGTTGCAGATAATGCAATCGTTGTAAACAAATAAAAAACCCATTAATTCCATTAATACATTAAAAAAAAAAAAATTTTTCACAAATTTTAATTTCCCACATTTAGTTATTTCTTAAATTCTTGAAATCCACTGATTCCTCCCAACCGGTAGTCCGCAAGATAGTTAAAAATGGTTCGTGAATTAAATTTAGCAGTTAATATTTATTTATTTTCATTTTTTTTATTTTTATGTTTTTATTTTTGATATGTTTTTATTATTTGTGCATATTACTTCAAAAAACATCTGTGAATAGTAAAAAATGTTGAAACTATATTCGAAACTATATATTCAAATCAACTTTTCGAATATAATTTGAGTTCAATTTATTTTAAAGCAGGCTTATCTGTAAAAGATGGGACGATTCAACCATATACCGACATATGTAGTTATGTGGTTATGTTCCGATAAAAGGAAATCCAAAATTCTCATTGATATACCCCGTAGAGATAACAGTTTTTTGGTAGGTTTACTTACACGTCACTTTAAACTAAGGAACCATGCTAGAGGATTATGTCTCCCTTTGAATCAAACCTGGCGAAGCCATGGGGAAGACGATGAGAGTGCCTCCCATCTTATATGTTTTTGCCCAGCTCATGCACGGCGGCGATTCAATACTTTAGAAGCCTCCTTTGTTGAGGATCTTGATCAAGTCCTGACACTCAATAGCATTTTAGTCTTCGCCAAAAGTTCTAAGTGGTTTTAAACCCTGAATTTTCCTACATATACGGTAACACAATGGACTAATAGGTCTAACTGGATCCACTAGGGTTCGCCGGTATAACTTAACCTGAACTATGTGTAATGAAGTGTATATATATGGCTTTTTAGATTGATAAATCTGGATTCAATTTAAGTTTACTCGAGATCCATCAAATCTGTTTGTTGCCCAATCGAACATTTTCAAAGTAATCTAAAATTTTTGTAGTTGTGTTAGTAAATAAACCAACTGATTTAAAATATTCACTTTAACTTCTTTTTCTGTTATACACGACATTCACCACAACACATTAACTTCTTTTTCTGTTATACACGACATTCACCACAAAATCTTCAACTCTACTTTGTTCCGTTTTTACAAATAGTAACAAGTTGAAAAGTATATCTTCATCTGCATTTGCAACCAAATGTGCTATTATTTTCATTTTATATATTTTTTAAAAACGGCATCCAAATACATAAACAAACAAATTGGGTACATGTGAAAACAAATCACATTTTTTTATCTGTGAAATCTTGCTACTCTGGCAAAATATAGGAGTGTCTTATAAATTAATTTCGAGTTTTATAAAGATTTACCAAATGAAAATAAATATTGCACTAAAAGTGAATATCGATTAAAAAAGTTACTCCAGATTTACCAATCGAAAACGCCAGCATTTTCTATATATTTTTTATTTATCTGTATAACAAATTTTAATATATTAAATTTCTTTTTTATTCATATATAATAAAATGATAAGAGCAATGTCTATATGTATAATTTGTTATCTCTACTCTCGTATATTTGCTCTTTTTACTCAAATATTAAATTTAAAAATTTTCTTTAAAACAAAATTGCTGTTTATAATTCAAATTCTTATTCTATTACGATAATGACTTTTTATTATTTACAGTGTAATCCGCAAAAAAAAAGGAGCTGGCAGTGCTAAAGAGCACTTCAGAACTCACCGCACCCATAGGAAAGAAATACAAGTTTTCACCATTAAACCTGGCGCTTGAAGTCGTTTTAAGCAATTACAAAAACAAAAACCAAACAAAAATTTCTGTGCGTAACTCCGCTGCAGCCAAAACTGTCTCATTGCCTTATTGTTCCATTAAAAATAAACAGTCGTGAGAATGTAATGTGGTGGGAAAGAATACTCTACACTTCGAAATTTGTTTCATGTCTACAGGACTGCAGCCAGAACGACAGCGGTAATATTAAAAAGGATGTCAGATGTAAAGTTGCACGTAAAGGATAACGTTCGGAACTAGCTGGCGCGTGTTAAATATATATTTGCAATATGAGAAGCTTACTACAAAGATATACAAATATATTATTTATTTAAACATATTGAAATGAACAAATGAAATTGTAACTTGTCAAGTGTGTGTCGTATCAATT